TATAATGTAAGGATCCCTGCTCAACACAAACCCACTTGTTCCATTGAATCACCTCGCAGGACCAAGGCAACTCGCAGCTTTGCGACGACTCCTGGTGAGCCGAGAGAAGCACTCGTTGGCCTCGTTGGCCTTGACCCAACTGAGCCGCCGGCTCCCAGAACCACAATGGGCACAGATCCAAAGAAGAAACCTGGCTACACCTCAATATGGACGTGCATGATTATGCAGCATGATAAACCTATAGAAAGAATCATGAGCCCACATGATGGGGTAGAGTGACATGAACAGCCTATTTCATGGCGAAACACAGTGGTTCGTTTAGTGGGTCTTAGGGTTATTATACTGGCTAGGTTGAGTTGTCCCCTTGGTGACTGCTTTTTTAAACATCACTTTATGGAAACTCCAACTCAGAGACCAGAACCATTAGAGAGGGGGTGCCCTTTACTTGGCAAGAACCTTTATAAGTCTCTTTCTCAATCATCTCCATTCCCATCAAGATCAGGAACTGTGGAGAGATGAGCCCATACACACGTCACTCATGATAAACCTAAGCCTATGCCGGTCGTATGTTGGCAAGGGCCCAAACACCCGATGTTGAGGGCCCAGTTTTTGAACAGTGTGGGTGTGTGGGTACGGCTATGTGAATGGAACCACACATTGCCTCACCTCAGCATGTTTGTCTCCTACAGGTCTCTATTGAGCGCTGTTAGCCCATATCGAGGTGGGCTAAGTTTCTGGACACCCGTGGAAACAAGTTTTCTCGGGGTGCGTGTCTTTTCAGCTTGGTTTGGAGGGCCACCAAAAGCAAACAAAACAGTTCTCCTTGTTTTGAGACATACCACTGGTTTTGAGCACCCAGATACAACGTCTGTGGCCGGAGGGCTGGTGGCTTGAGTTATGGTGGATGCTCTTGCCTGCGCACGTTCAGCACACAAAGTCTGCAATTTCTCCATTACATGCTGTTGCTGTTTATTGCATCCACTTATCCGCACAGCACACACACATACATATACTCATTTACATTTAAACATTTCCTTTTTGCAACACCAGTAAACTTGTGTATGTGTATCTCTGTCTACATTTGGGAACCATACACAGTACGGGTGTTTGCTTGCTTTGTTCAAGTTTTGGACGAGTGTGGCTGACAGTGCCAATATGTGGCAATGCTCTCCGTATGCGCGGAAGATGCAAAGATGCTTGATTGCCTTGACATCAGCAGGAAACATGGGTTGAGAGCGCTGATGCTTGCCACCAGTGTCAACTTTCATGTTCAGCCAATTAAGGAGGCGTCTCCGAGCCATGAAACGATGACTATTTGGTAGGTGGGCTTGTTTTCCTTTGCCTGTTCAACTTCCTGGCTTCCAGAGTTTCCGTGTGTGTTTGAGGGCACCCTTCTTGGGTTTGGGGATCATGTCGGGGCTTCCCAAGTTTTTGGGAGTTGGCGCTGCCGCAACCCTTGAACCTTCCCAAGCAGGTCCCTTGGGGATTCCTTGCTTCCACTTTGCGAAGATTGTGATTTGGGATGTGACGCTGGCTAAGTGTTTAACTTTCAAGGGATCAAGAAATCAGAGTGGATTCCAACAGGAAAAGGAGACATGGTTGGCTTGTTGGTTTGCTTTGTCCTCGTCTTTCAAAACAGGAAACAGAGAAAGGCTGGTTGGAGTGTCCCAGTCGAAAACACACACGTGCACTTTGTTTCATGTTTGGCGATCCACATGGAACCTGGGCCCATCCCTTTGGCGGGCTCCATGGACGGGGTAAATCATTGTCACCGGCAAATGGAATGACCGGGTTGGGATTGCTTAAGAGATTCGGCCGGCTGGTGCTGCTCGACCCATTTTCGTTTTAGAATGGAGTGGGCACTGGAAACCGTAGGACAATGCGTGTAGCTATTTTGTCTCCTTTCGTGCCCAATTGAGTGTGTGAATTTTGATTGGACCCTTCGGTGGACATCGAATACATCTCCAACAAACATGGAAGCTAACGGAAAGGTGTGGGAACAAGGTTCATTACTTTCCGAATGAGGGCTAAACGCCCGCTCCACTTTCATGATTGTTGGAAAGAATGTTCGCCAGCCACTTGAGAGCGAAGCACACTCCTACTTGGAGCCGTCAATTGCGACTTCATAGGACCATGAGAAGGATTGACACCATGGAGCCATGACCATGGCCGAAATGTTGGGAGTCTCGACTGTGGCGAGGGAGTACGTGGGGGCCAGCCCAACTCACTTTTTCAAAAGCCCACTCGTCCACCCAATTTTTCCCATGTCCTCTTGGGGAAGCATTCCTCATCTTGTCCGGGGTTCCCACAAATCAAGCCACGAGGCTGCATCCGGATGAGGAGTACCAGGTACGGACCCGTAGCACCCAGTTGGCTCGTCCGCGGGGACTTTCAGCGCTGGAGGATGCTTCGGGACGGTCAGGATAACAAGCAGTATGGGGATGTTTTTGGTGGATTGCGCGGGGGATTCCTTTGATTCGCACCCGCCAGATGTATCCGAAGCAAACAGCTTCAGCGAGCTCAGGCTGCGCTTTGGATGTGGTGTTGAGCCCGTGAGCACTTTTGGAGCGGTATGGGTCCAAAGCTCAGGCGTCAGCGAATCGACCTGTAAGTCCTTTGGGTTTCCCTTTGTCCATTTGTCCCAAAAGGGCAACCTAGTTCCAGCTGCTGCCAGGTGAGCGAGGCTTAAGGAAAAAGGGCGAGCTGCACTGGGAGTTGCAACAAAGCCTTTGGCTAGGTCAAGTCTTGGTTTCGCCGAATGCACCTTTTCACCTTGAGTTTTAGGTCTTACTTCGTGAGATACATGCGGAGCGCTCCTTGCGAGCTTTTGACCTTTAGGGTTGGGGTTCCAACAAGCTCACAGATGTGGAACGTGAGGGGCCAATGGATTACACACGTTATTCTCCCATGATCATGATGTAAATTTGGCTTTGAAGTGTATCTTTGTTGGTGTCAACTCGAAAGGCCCAAGGCGCCGCCAGAAAGGGGGGAGCAGTTCTTTCTGCGCGGCGCCAGCAGGACGTGCCGGGGGGACTCTCCAAAATCGCAAGGACAGGAAGGGCCTCTTTTTTTCAACAACAGAAACGCATGGCAGGTGATGTTAGACCCTGACTGCCTGGTCAACGTGCACAACGAGTCCGCTCAGCTGGCGGGGACCTTTTTTTTTGCCGGGGGAGAGAAGGGGGGGGTGGAGGGAGGTACCCTTTGCAGCTTGGTTTGTATAATTGGAAATCAAACGCAAAACCCCAAGTTTTTGGACGCCCTCATTTTGACAGCATGGGTCCATAGGGAGTGGTGGGCATATATGCAGCCTTCTGACCTACTGTGGGTCAGGGTTGGCTGCAACGTTTGTTGTAACAACCCCTGGTACCCTTAGGTCAGGGGACCGTTGCAAAAGGGTTCTCTCCGATCCCAGGTTTTACTAAAAGAACCATCATGTGTTTTTCCCCAACAGCTGAAAGCTTTGGGGTCTCAGCTCAGATAGGCTCCGGGGTGGTCCGGGGCGGGCCCGAGGTAAGGTTGCACGAGGGTTCCACCAGGGTTCCACCAGGGTTCCACTAGGAGTCCACCAGAGTTCCACCAGGGTTCCACTGGGGTTCCACCAGGGTTCCACGAGCGAGCACTCAAAAGAGCACCGCATGCTGTTGGGGATATCACCTGAGTTTATCCGCATTCGATGTCGAAAACCCATTGCGATCGAACCAAATCATTCAACGGTCTTCCGACCCGGGAAACCAACAGTTTCATTCATGCAGCCCGACCGGAATTACTGGGACTAGGACACTAAGGGTCCCTCAGCTTGCTTAACGGAGGGATACCAATGGCGGCTTGCACCCACGATTCAGCCAAGGTTGACATCTTGGGAAGGGGACGCCCTCTGAATTTACACATAAAACTTAGGCTTGGCAAGCCTTTTGTTGGGCCATTGCCAGCTTGGACTTTCCTGAGATGTTTACACAGCACGGTCTACTGCCCTGCAAACCAGCATGGAACCCAAAAACGGGGTCGGATCCTCAAAAAAATATTTCTCTCCACTCGAGGGTTGTTTGGGTTCCGCCCGCGAATTTCCCAAGGGTTGAATCGCCATCATTTTCTTCAGCGCTTCGACCAAAGTTTGCTTGCCCCCTTTTGGTGGCTTAAGAAAGCGGGGCCAACAGGACACGTGTTATTTTGGAAGAAGACAACGGGCAACCAAGGGCACTTTCCCTTTTGGGTTGGCCCCCATTTGGAGACTCTCTCAGTCATTGGAGAGTTGTTTGGCTCGTTGGGAAACCGCCTCCGCTTGTAATTTGGTTCGTGCGCCCACTGTCATCCCCTTTGGAAAGTTAGGTAGGGCCAGTTTCCGTGATACCACGAGACTCGTCTTATTGATATATGTATGTATGTATATATATATATGTATATATATATATGCATATATATATATATACGCATACACATATATATATATACATAAGGGGGATGGCCTGCTTTGGTATCACGGAAACATATTACCCACAACCGTGGTGTCATCCGCTTAGCTGCAGTTAATCACCGGTTCCCCATTTTTGGATCACCGCAAGGTAGACTTTGAAAATGATCACCCCAAACTTAGAAATGGAACCGTCTGATCGAACTGCTTCCGTCTGATCGAACTTGGGCTCTCAGCCAATGGCTTCGGGCAGTGCTGGCAGGAGCGTCGAATGCTGCAAGCATCACGCTAAAGGCTAGCAGCACACCGTCTGCCAAAATTTAAAGCAGACTCTGAGCATTTGGTGTACCCCAGAGTCGGGCCAAGACCGCACCAGGTAAGGCCATTCTAGGGCCTACTTAGTGTTGGTTTTGGCTGCGTTGGTTTAAACAGCCACTGCTGGACAGAATATCTTGACTCTTGGGCAGCCACACATCAGCATCGAAGGGACCTTGAATGGAAGCCAAACGACACCTTCGGGACTAACCAAACCCTAGAGACACCTAGACCCTTAGTGGGAAAAGCACATGTTGCAGGACCACCCCGCGTCATTTGGACATTTGAGCGGGCCGTGTGACCTTGATGCCATGGATGCTGGCAATGGAGACGACAAGCCGGGAGCCAAGAACCGTGCCGGGTGGGTTTGTCTCCAAATGGGGTCTCAGTTCTTTTCAGTTGATTTTCGGGTCGAACTATGGAGAACCCTGAACATGACAGCCTTAGAGTACTGCAGAGTGACCAACCGGTGGTTTCCCATTGTTGGCCTCAAAAAAGCAGGTCTCCCTGCTGGCGCACTGGAGTGTTTAGCCGCGGGGCTGTATCTTGCTGTATATGGCTAGGGGGACATCATCATGGCCAGATTGCTTCTCCGTACTTTCTGCTGGGTATGTGAGGTTCAGTCGAAGCAGCCGTGTCTATGGTCATGGAAAACTTATTAAGATTCTCACACACCCAGGGACCCACTGATTTCCCCATGTCCTTTTTAAGCCAACCACATATTCCGACCTTGGCTCATACAGGCAATGGACAGTATTCTTGCTAGTCGACTAGTTTGGGAGGATTTATGGGCTCACCCACAAATCGGGGGCAACGAGCACCTTTGCCATGTCTCACAGAGGAACAAGTTGAACATGTCTACCAGGTTCTTATCATTCAACGGACTATCTTTCAACTAGTCTACAGTTGATTTGGGAGGACACAATGTCCCTAGCTCCCCACAAACATTTGCCAGTACTATTGTCAGTCACTAACATGGTGGGCAAGCAGCGACTTCACATTCCCGGGGTTTGCGACCTCGCCGATGAGAGTCTCTGACTTGAAGATAGCTGATTTCATGCTTGTGAATTAATCGTGTGGGATGACCCTTCCATCGACTGGCCGGAGTCGTGGTTTGGAGAACTTCCTCTAAAAAGGGCTCCATGGCAACGGGCTGGAGGCTATATCCGAGTCAACCCCAGATTGGATCCGTGCAAAACGGCTCACATTTCTTTGATTTTCGGAAAATCAAGTCAAAGCTGAGAAGCGTGAAAATGTGGTGTTGGAGTCAGATGTCCCCAAAACCTAGGGGCAGTGTTAGCGTGTGATGACTGTGCGTGAATTTATATCGCGGGACCTGGAAATCATTCTGGGTTGCTTTTCGCGAAAGGAACCCAGCGGGATTTCTGCCCATTTTCCATTTTTCCAGATCCCCCGTTCTATTTACACACAGATCCCCCTTTTCACCACGTTGTAGCTTTGTGCGGCTTCGCCTTATACGACCAGTTTCAGCGGCTGAAGCCTCCCTCGAGCTCGGGCCCCGGGCCCAAGCGCGATGCGGCGATGCGCCCGGAGGACCGTGGAGGTCTTCGTGACGGGCCGGATCTGCCTCTTCGGGGAGCACTCCGACTGGGCAGGAGGCGGCCTTTTTTGCTTTCCCGGGCGGTCGGGCCGGCGCGAAGGTGGAATTTGGTTGGTCAATTTGAGTGCGTGTTTTTGTTTGCATCTATTTTTTGAGAGCACCTTGTTTGGAGGCCGTTTTGAAGGGAAAGTAAAGGTACAACACCACGAGGGTATGCGTGTTGAGGCCAACGTTGACCCCATATTAATCAACCCCAGTTTAGCAATAGGGGGGTGCTCCCCTCCAACAGTGATGATCATAAATTAAACTCAGGGACACCCCAATGTGAATAAACTGGGGTTGATTGATATGGGGTCACCCGTATTTCAATCGGAGAGGCACTACTGTTTTTTTTTTGGTTTCCGCGAATTTCCGGTGCCAGATGTGCCATGGAAACACCGTTTATATTTGGGGGTACTGCGGAAAGACCTCGGTTCGGTTTCGTTTTGTGGATGCGGACTCCACCCAGGCCGCGGGCCCCAAGTAGTATGGATCAGATTGAAACAGAAGGTGCCTCCGGGTTCAGGGCACCGCTAATTGCTGTGTTTGATTGGTGGGACATGGAGAGTTCAAAGAATTTCAGTTCCTTCAGATTTGCTTGAATCCAAAGGGGAAGCTTCCCCGGAGCACCGCCAAGGCATGAATTTGAGGTGAGCTGATCGATGTTTTTGAATTGGTTGCTGGTTTTCTGGAGGTGGGCGACTCAGCGTCAATGCATTTCTGTGGTATCCTTGGGTGCGAATTCGGCGGCCCCCCAATCCAGGGAAAACCTGTGGAAGACCGCTGTTCTCCCGTTTCCGCCTTTGGCTTTATTTGGGGTGGATCACAAGGTCCTCTACATGGGGTGACCAGTTGGGAAGCCACCAAAGAAGATGACTGTCACCATGGACACATGCATGGGTGTATCCAGCTTGATGGCGCCCGAGGGAGACCAGTTTCTGGCCTGTTTCCTTGTGGATACAACAAACTCATATTTTCCCTTGTTGGTGGTGCGCAGTTAACTAGTTAAGGGAATGCACATCCTCAAAGTGTTTGAAGATTATGCGCCTTCATGCCGGAAGTTACTCCCCACAAAGCGACTCCTCCTGGACCACCTAAGCTAGGATTTCAGGATTTGAAGCTCTGGTTCTTGTTGAAGCCAAAAGGGAAGATGTCGCCTACGCCCTGGAAGCTACCCTCGGCAGCGGTTCCCTTGTTGTGGTAAACCAATTCCAAGGACAATCATGTGTTTTTCGCATCAGAAAGGAGCCCAGTTGTGACCCCCCCGTTTTAAAGGGTCACCCAACATACATTTGGCTATGAAGCACTCGGAAACTTTTTGGCCCCCTGTTGGCTTTGACACCTCCTTCCGCCGCCAATCCCCAACGAAAAGACGACGCCAGGCTACCGGCGCTTCAACTCGGAGGTGGCGGCGGGCTGTGCGCTAGTCTGTGGCACAGACCAAGGCGGGGTTTGGGGCTCGCTGGCTCGCGAGGACCGGCAATTGCCGTGTTGGATGGGTGGGAAAGGGACACCTACCTGGCAGGTGCCGAACTTTGAGAGAAGCGCACGATTTTTTTGTTCGCCCAGGGTGAATCTGCCGCGCTTGACTTTCACACCCGAGCCCCTTATTCGCCTCTAGGTGGTTCTACTGTTTGCTTAGAGAAGATGCTATATGAACCTGTCTGAACTGTATAAACCTGTTGGTCCAATACTGATTCCGAGCCAGAGCAACGGAGCCATGGGAGGGTTGTGGCCTGAATCCTGCCCAAACTAGTCGCTGGGTTGCTGAATGAAGTTGATGATCCCTATCGCCACCACAAGTCAACCATGCCACTCGCCTGGGAACCACTGACAGACTCCAGCCACTGGACTTTGGGCGCAGCTCACGTCAAAACCGATTCGGCTAGAAGGTTAGAACAAGGGATAGTCCCCTCGCCAGAACTGGGTGCCTGCGCCGCCATTCTGCTTGTTTACGTGGACATGGATCCATCGATCCCGACCATTTCAAGACCCATCGGTTTTGATCATGACTCACCTGGAGCACTCTGTGACTCCAACGCCCCGGTGCAGGCCTCTATGCGCGGGCACGGAAACTCCCCGGCAGCAGCCGCCTGCTGTCCGGGGCTCAGGGGGATACTCACTTTAGCGGCTTTCTGGATGTGTCTCCACATGGCGCAGCCCCTCGCAACGAGTGGATTTCTGTCCTTTGCATCAACCCAGAACAGGTACCCATGAAAAAGACGGCACTAGTGGTTGTACATCTCATTTAACTCAACTCCGGGTTTGGGGGTGTAAACCATCTTAGATCGACATGATTTTCCACCAGAAACCGAGAAACCACCCGCACGCTCACAGAGCCTGTACAAAGTCAGAGTCCGTCTTTGGGGACCACCCAAAACCGAACTCCTCTCACTTCTGATTGAGTGGATTGGCGAAAAAGGGTAACCGAACTTGTTGTTTGCCACTAAAGTCTTAGTGGTCTTCCCGAAAAGTATTAGACAGTCCAGGAGCTCAGGGAGTGAGTTCAGCGTGGAGCAAATTTCTTGGCCCAAATTTGGTGCGTCTTTTTAGAGGTGCCCTTTTGGGCTTTTAAATGAAAGCCAAAGGGAAAACCGAAGCCATTTTGGGGGCCGACTCCTATTTAAAGGCATGCCCACAAAGGTTTTGGGAGTTTGAATTGTGTTTCTTGTAAAGGGTAAACTTGAAACCACCGCGGAACACCGCCAAACCTCCAAACCGAACCGCCATGTAGAGGGAAGCTGAATAAACAAGGGTATATACCCAACACTTGTCCAAAGCCCAACTTTCGAACTTCAAGATTCGGTGTCTTCGTTTGGCTGGAACCCAAACCGCTTAGGGCTTTTGGCTTCTTGTCGCTACTTGCTACCCGTCGAATCGAGGCGCTACACCTCCTCCAGCGGCGAAAGCGTGGAGCTGGACCTGGACGACGCCCAAAAGCTGCGGAGCATGGCGCAGTCCGCCTCCACCTTCGCCTACATCGCCGGCGCGGAGGGCTCGAACGGCCAGTTGAAAGTGAGCTTCCTTTAAGTGGGGGGTGATGTTTAGGTCGGAAAGGTGCTGGTTTTTTCTTTTTTAGCTGGGGGTTCCCCTCCCTGGGTTTAAGGGAAGAGCCAACGAGCAGGAAATACATGACAGCACTTACCAACGGATTAAAATGGAGGTTTCCACTTACCAGCCAGCTAGGCATTCTCCAAGCTGACGAAGCAATCTGGAAGCTGATTTTCAAACAGGTGTCTTTGTTTCAAACACTGTTCTTGGTTGGTCCCAACCCCTCAACAAGCACCTTCCTGACCCAGGCGGGGGGAGGCTTCTTTGTTTCAGCCACCAGTTTTGGTTTATGCCAACCCCTCAGCGAACAGCCCCGGGTTCCCGGTCTCCAAACCAAGAATATGTTGTATTGTAGGGTTCCCTAGATACGAAGCAGAATCAGGAAGTGTTAGCGTCTGAGCCGAGATAGCCAAGATTTGGCTTCTGAGTTTTTGCGTTTCAAAGGCGGTGGCCCCCTCCCATTTTGGCACAAAGGCTTTCAAAGGACCATGGCCCCTTCTTCGGCTCAGTTCTCACAGCTCAACTTATCTCGAGACCTAGGGTAAATTACGCCTTCCCTGGATGAATGTCCCTTACTAGGAGATTCCAATTCCTATTTTCGGTTGAACTCAAGTAACTTGGCCAGATGAAGCCAGTATTTTTGTCAACATACGTGTGGCGAATGATCTCCGAGCTGTGCAATACGTGTTTGCCCACTCCGAAGTGCAGTATGTCCTCCAGCTTTTATCATGGAGGGCCGGCAATGCCTATGATCCACGTCTTTGCGATCTCCACGCCAGGGCTTTCATGGGATACAGGGAGCGCTGTGCCACATACCCCCAATTCGGCCCCTTTCAAGGGCTCACATGGCTCACGCCTGTGGGGCTGGCCCCGACTTGAACCTCTTGCGGCTTTGCGCCATATATCTTCACCGCTCCTGGCCCGCATTTTCTTTGTTCAATAGTTGTTGTCTTGCTTGTTTGCTGCGCAAACAACGATTTTGCTGACGGAACATATTATAGGGTTGGGAACATATCATAGGGGTTTGGGTCAACATTTCCAGTGGCCTGTGCTCCATCGGGGGGAATGGGTGATGACTCACCAAATGTTCTGCAAGAACCTCACTACTGTAATGTTTGTACGCCCCTTATAGGAACACTATATATTGACGGTACCTCACATTGGATTTCTCGGGGTACTCCCAAAACTGGGGACACGACAATTGCCTTTTGCCCCCAGTTTTGGAAAACCGATGAAACTATAGAATCTGCTTCACAGGGCATTATGTTTTACACATATGTATTTGTTAAGCTTTTCGTAAGGAGACGGTACCAGGCACCCCGGGGATGCGACCAATGTAGCACTCATTTTTCCCGTTCTGTAGACTTCACTGCACCTCTCGCGAGAGGCGTGGTGGTGGAGCTGGGGAAGCACTTTCGGGTGGGCGGCGCGGAGATTGTGAACTATCAGTCAGACCTGCCCATTAAGCGCGGGGACCCGGACGAAACGTTTCGCCTAGATTCATAGACGCCAGGAATGAAAGTCGGGCTAGTGAAATTGTTGGTTGAAGAGTTGAGGGGTGGCTTTTGGGGCAGGGGAAAGATTTGATGAGGAATAGAAGCCGTTGAACCATGGGAAGGTTGCCCCTTAGACAGTCCTTATGGAGTAACCCCAGTTGTCAGACGGGAAATCAGTTAGATTGTGTTCAGTTTGCTCCATTGGTTGGAAGGCTGTGTTCTTCTGACCCCCAACTTGTTTTTGGGGCCCAGAAGCGAAGAGGCAAGATCAAAGAAGAAATCAAACGGGTCCCAGGTGGTTTTGGGGGAGGGGGCGGGCCAAAAAACGGCGCGGCGTTCTCTTGCTTTCGCTGTAAAACAAGATAAGAGCGAGGCGGCTGTCTGTTGGTTTCCCGTCAAAACAACCTTTGCCTTCTCGATGTTTCGCTGGCATCCACACCCTAGGCTTTCCTTACCTGAGATTTTCCTTGGGGGCGTTTGCTTGCCATGGTTGTTTTAAGGGGGGCACCAAGAATCAAACGCCTAGTGTCTTAGGGAACTTCCAAAAAAGGGCAGAACCCATTCGGCCATCGATCGCATTCTTTTCCAGGAAGGGCCTCTCCTCTTCCGCCGCCATTTGCGTGCTCATCGTCCGCGCGCTCAATCAGCTGTACGCCGCTTGGCACATGAGCAGCTGAACGGAAGGGTTTGCCCCAAGCACAGTCTCCCGTCATCATGACGAGTAGTGGCAGTGGCTTCCTCAGGAACCCGGTTGGTTGCTCTTTGTTCCTGCCCTTCTAGGGTTCCGATCGCTTGGATGGGGGGAAGGTGAAGCATCCCAACGGAGCCGAATTGTGATCGGCCCCGTCCGACGGGCCCGACTTTCAAATACCTTCATCCCATTTTTAGTTCTAGTTTTTGCTTTTGATGTTCTTTAGAAGAAGCGCCCCTTGATGGGTTTCTTCCGTTACCATCCCACTTTTCTAGGAAGATCTCCTTGTGGGGGAAGGTGACCTTCTTTTTCGGTTTCACTGCAATGCGGCTTTTTGCCACTGCACGTGTATTGGGTTCCCGTTCCCCGCCCCCTCCTTTCTTTAGGACTTGAAGCTCACGGTGCATGGGGAGATGGACATGGCCTACCGCGGGGAGATCAACACCCCGAGTCGCTGCGGGCGCATGGATCAGTGCGTGGCCTTCGGTCGGGCGGCGCCTCGGACCGCGGAACGGCTCCGGAGTTGGGGCTGTGGGTTCGGGCGGGGTTTCGGGGGGATGGTGGTGGGAGGCTCATGTTCCAGGCGAGCTAACGAGCTGAGGGCGGGATTAAGGTGGGTTGAGGGTCTGTTCAGGGTCTGTTTAGGGTGGGCACAGGGTTGGCTTCGAGTTGGTTTGGGATGGGTTTAGAGCATGGTTAGGGTCGAGCCGGAAGCATACCGTTAGGAAGGCAAAATGCTCACCCACGACGAAGGCTGCTTCTAGGGGGATTCCCACGCTTTATGAGTTGTAGCTGACCCAGGAATTCTTCTGGTGTGGGTTTCGGTCTCAAAAGGGGGCTTGGCAAATGGCGGGACCTGGCGCTTTCCCTTTCAAACTAAACAGCTTTCCAAATGACCATCCCCGCGGCTTTGAAGACCCAATGTAATCGCTAGAGGTCTTTTGTCTCCACGAGAGCCACGAGAAAAGCCACTGTAGAAAGGGAACAAAGCACAGTGTTCCTCGCAGGGTTGCTCTTCGTCGAGGAAGGGTTATTCCATCTGGTGAACCGCGGCAAAATGGGAATCGTAGCCGTTCTTGCCACCACAAACTTGTTGAAACGCAGCCAATTCATTTTCAGAAAAACATCTCGACCCCTCCTTCCAGCGGCCGGCCGAGAAACCCGCATTTTATGAGCAGAGGCATTGAGCTTCGCGACGTGGTTGGAGTAGGGTTTAAACAAGGACCCATTCTTTTTACCGGAGGACCGGAAGGGTTTTAAGCAATGTGCAAAGGAAACAACCAACCAGCCGCCAACTTGCGCCGATCGGGTCTTGGGAGACTGCTTCTAGTTTCCCTTACATTCAACAGGGCGTCCGCAATGGTACTTGAGTTGACACTACGGGCCATTTCCCACAAGAGCCAGTTTTTGACAACCCACCACAAGCCAACGATAAAATAGGTTACGGTCAAACAACAGGTTGGAGCTTGGAGAAAAGGGCATGTGTCAAAATAGGGGGCTTTCCTTTTGGTTTCTCATTCAACCAACCTGGAAAGGATACCAACCCAATAAAACGCACAGCCACAGCCTTGTCAGCAATGATGCTCCCTTGAGACTTTAAGAGGCAAAGGTCTGAAGTGGACATGGCGATTTAGATTTAGGTCACCAAGATGACCTTCGACTCGGACCTGGTCTCCACCGAGCCCGTGCGATCCGCCTCTGCCATCCACATGGTTGTGGTGGACCTCTGCGCCAAAAAGGACCCAGGGGGGTAACTGGTACCCAACTCCAGTCGAAGTCTTTGGGCCCCTGAGCTGCATCTACAATTAAACCCTCAAGAAGGCCTTACTCCCCCCCCCCCGCCCACAGCCTCTGTTGGAGGCCATGAAGGGTGTTGGGTGTACGCCTGACTGACAATGGGGGGGGAGAGGGGCATTGCCCCTCTCTGCTCGCCTTTGGGATCTTTTCTTGAGGTTTCGACTATGGGGCAGATCCAAGCAGACATGTGTTTTCCGTTGGGGACAAACGCTCAGGGCAATCAACATGGAAACTCCATTTGCACACACTGAGTGTATTGGCGAGGACACAGATGCAGAAACAGGAATTGTTTTTCATCTTCACCTTTCCTTGGTGGTTGAAAGGAAAACCCGGGTCGGCAGAAATCACCCAGTGGAACCAAAACCAGTAGGGTGCAAGGGCATTTGCCATGACTGTCTTATGAATCACCTTTGGTTCGGTTCAGCTGCGGCCTCTTTTTCCTGCAAGCGAGTGTCCTCTTAGCGGATGACTGCGATTCGCCCATGGTTAGGACTGTGACCAATGGCCCTTGTTTCAACTTGGGCATGTCCCCCCCCACAAACAAACAAAACAGGTTCTTCTTTTGGTTTCCCTTTCACCCGACTTGAACGGGTTTCCTCAACACATGCACCCACTGGGTTAGCTCCAGACAAATGGTGCATGGAGGACACCAAAGAGATCCTGAAGTGCTTGAACGAGGCGTGGCCGATGTTGCTCATTTTTGGGGAGGACCTTTTAAGGCGCTCACTGGCGTTCGAATCCCCGAGTTGGGTTCGGTCAAGCTGAGTAGTCTATGGTTTCTTTGGGAGGGGCGAGAAGGAACTCTCTAAATTGCCCAGAGAGGCCCGAAGACTGTCTAGTTTCCCCATGTCCGGTTGGGTGACAGTGAATCTTGACCGTTGCTCAAAATGGGCGTGTCTTGAAACGGGTGGTTTCCCTTTTCCACGCAAACCCCAAAACCGGTACCAGCTCAAAGAGGCAGCCAAAGAGAACCGTTGAGTTCATGTCTCTGAAGGCTGTCTTCTTTCGATCCCCTCAAGACCCAACCAAAGAGGGGAGTCCCGAACATCGCCAGGCGGAGTTGGGCCATGTTTTTTTCTTCTTCTTTTTTCTTCTTTTTTTTCCAAAGCAACACGCTGCCTGGACAAGAACTACTTTCGGTTTTGCCCAACCGGGGTGCATGGTAGGTACTTTGAACCAGCTTCTCCGCCAATGGTTGAAGCTTGGATGTGGCCAAGGGAATCCTTCAAGGGAAGTCATATGAGCTTGAGCCAAGAGACCCCACCCCAAAAAGAGAACACGCAAATCACTTTCATAGGTTGTGCGAAGAAGTTATGAGAGCGAGGGTCAATATTTACCCACCTCCAAAGATGGCATTGGGCACACTCACCAAAATGCCATTGAGACAGGCGGGTTACACCCTCCAACTTCATTGTCATTGGCGGACATAGTGTATGAGTCATATGAGCATTATTGTAGTTAGGGCCCTTGGGGGGGGGGGGGGCCAGGAAACGTCCTGAGACCCAGGCCTACCCCTTCCCGCAGAGCGATGCGGACAAGGCATTGCACGCACTGCTGGGGGAAATGAACCAGCAGGTCTGCCCCTGGGACGGCAGACTTAGTTTTTGTGTTTTTTTTCCTCAAATTTTGAGTTGGTGGGGTTTTGACTTCATAGTCGTTTTTCATGTTCTTCCCTAGCCTTTCGGGCGTTCTTTCGAGTGGTTTTGGGTGCGTGTGTTTTTGTGGGAGGGCCTCTTCCCAGACAAATTCGTCGTCTTCAGGGTTTAAGCTGCTTCAAACATGGTTTCCCTCCCCCCCACCCCCTCACTGTCCCTCCCTCCCTCCCTCCCTCCCCCTCCCCTCCCTCCCCCTCCCTCCCCCTCCCTCCCTCCCCTCCCTCCCTCCCTCCTCGCTACCCCCCCCCCCCCCGCAGGCTCTGGGCACTCGCTCCGTTCGAACGCACGTTGCAGGCGCCGAGGCCGTGGAGGTCCTGGGCCTGCGCGAGGAAGGTCTCGCCGCGGAGCGCCTGGGCCAGGCGGGGCCGAGGCTCAGTTGTTCAGTGGCACCACTTCTGTTTCCCCTTCTTTTTTTTTTGGGGGGGGGCTGCCCCACTAAACATGGTCTTCCCCAAAAAGGGTTCCCCTTTTTTTCCTTCCAGGGTCACTGAACAACTGAGTAGGTGTCCTTTTTGGTTGGTTTGCTTAAAAATAGGTTTGGCGATTCCTGGTTTAGATGAGGTTTCTTCCATTTACCGGGTAACCCATCTATTTTTCCAACAGGCCACCTGTGGATTGGAGCCTTCGGGTAAGTGAAGGTTGAGGGACAGTTCCCTTGCCAGAAATGGTGCTTTGGCCGCCTCTTCAATTATTGGGTGCGACAGTCCAAATGGGTGCCTTAGAACGCCTTTTGAAGTCTTGAAGCATGTTTGAAGTCTTGAAGCATGTTTCTGTGAAGGTGAGACAGTCCCCTCGCCGGATATGGGTGCTTTAGAACGCCTTTTGAAGTCTTGAAGCATGTTTCTGTGAAGGTGGGACGTCCCCTTGCCGGAAATGGGTGCCTTAGAACGCCTTTTGAAGTTTTGAAGCATGTTTCCGTGAAGGCGGCACAGTCCCCTTGCCGGAAATGGGTGCCTTACAACGCCTTTTGAAGTTGTGAAGTATGTTTCTGTGAAGGCGGGACAGTCCCCCTGCCGGAAATGGGTGCCTTAGAGCGCCTTTCGAAGTCTTGAAGCATGTTTCTGTGAAGGTGGGACAGTCCCCTTGCCGGAAATGGGTAACACCTTTTGAAGTCTTGAAGCATGTTTCTGTGAAGGTGGGACAGTCCCCTTGCCGGAAATGGGTGCCGTAGAACGACTTTTCAAGTCTTGAAGCATGTTTCTGTGAAGGTGGGACAGTCCCCTTGCCGGAAATGGTTGCCTTAGAACGCCTTTTGAATTCTTGAAGCATGTTTCTGTGAAGGTGGGACAGTCCCCTTGCCGGAAATGGGTAGCACCTTTTGAAGTCTTGAAGCATGTTTCTGTGAAGGTGGGACAGTCCCCTTGCCGGAAATGGGTGCCTTAGAACGCCTTTTGAAGTTTTGAAGCATGTTTCCGTGAAGGCGGCACAGTCCCCTTGCCGGAAATGGGTGCCCTACAACGCCTTTTGAAGTCGTGAAGTATGTTTCTGTGAAGGCGGGACAGTCCCCCTGCCGGAAATGGGTGCCTTAGAGCGCCTTTCGAAGTCTTGAAGCATGTTTCTGTGAAGGTGGGACAGTCCCCTTGCCGGAAATGGGTAACACCTTTTGAAGTCTTGAAGCATGTTTCTGTGAAGGTGGGACAGTCCCCTTGCCGGAAATGGGTGCCGTAGAACGACTTTTCAAGTCTTGAAGCATGTTTCTGTGAAGGTGGGACAGTCCCCTTGCCGGAAATGGTTGCCTTAGAACGCCTTTTGAATTCTTGAAGCATGTTTCTGTGAAGGTGGGACAGTCCCCTTGCCGGAAATGGGTGCCTTAGAACGCCTTTTGAAGTCTTGAAGCATGTTTTCCTTGCCGGAAATGGGTGCCTTAGAACGCCTTTTGAAGTCTTGAAGCATGTTTCTGGGTCCATTTTAATACCAATCGGTTTTGACTATGACTCAGTTGGAGATGTGCAAGACTTGGAGGATTCTCCAGAAAACCCACCACTCAGAGGGTTGGTTTCTCAAGTTGGACACCTAGCCAGGTGGGTTTCCGCGAAACCCACCGCCAACAGGCTTTGAAAGGGTACCCTTTGAAAACACCAGACTGGGTACTCACTCGGGCGAAACCCTGGAAATTCTGCAATGGCAGTGGGATGGATTGTTCCTTACTTTTTTCCCAAGAACCCCTCTGGGGTTGGGTTCTCGTTTAGTTGTCTAACCGCGAGGGAGCGAGGATCGGCAGGGGTTCGACCCAAAGTGTACCATGTTTGCAGCGTGTAAACGCCACTGGCCGGGAAATGACCGAACAGGCGGCCTGCCGGCTGAATTGCCGGCAAGAACGGGACCGGTCCGAGTTTGCCGCATACCGCAGGGCCGAGTTTGCAGCATACCGCGCAAGCGCCGCCAAGAACGTGACCGGTCTCAAGTGTGCCGAGTTTTGCCGAGTTTACCGCATACTGCAGGTGGTCGGGCTTCAAGTGTACCGAGTTTGCAGCATCCCGTGCAAGCGCCGCTGGCGGGGAAATGGCAGAACGAGCGGCTTGCCGGCTGAATTGCCGTCCGTGCGCCGGTGGGATTTGGGAAAGCAGCGAGAACGAGCTGGGGTCATCCGTGTGCCGGTGGGATTTAGCTTGGCGGAGGCAACAGGAATTCAGGTGACCTCGGCGTGTGCCGGTGGGATTTGCTTCTGCGGGTGCAACCAGCGCGAGGTGACGGGAGGTGCTGGAGGCCGCGTGCCGGTGGGATTTGGTCCACAGAGGCGCGGCGATAACGAGGCGCGGTCGTCCGAATGCCGGTGGGATTTGATATCAACTCAATAGGGAACACTTATTTTACAACATCGTGACTGAGGTGTTCCCACTTGCCTCTTGTTGGAGAACTTCGTGTCAAGGCTCGGCCCAAGCATGTTGCGCCGAAGCCACGGGTGAAGGTGCTGCCTCTGGGCCGGGTTGTGGGCCCTAACCCGGCAAACTCCAGGCCAGCGCGCCCCAGACCAGAGGGCCCCAGGCCAAACGTGCCAGTGCTGGTGCCACCTCCACCACCGCCCCCGCGCTGAGGCCAAGGCCGCCGCCTGTGCCGCCGCAGCCTCACCACTATCGGCAGCAGCAGCAGCCGCTTCAGAAGCAGCAGCTGCAAGCAAAAGAAGTGCTGCTGGTGGAGGAGATGGAGGAGATGGAGAAGGTGCAAGTGGAGGAGCAGGATGAGTGGCAGGGGGACAAGAAGGACAAGAAGGATGCAGCAATCTTCGTCCCGGTCCTGACCGCATCCAGCAACGCAAGACAGCTGCGGGCTGTTTCCAAACCTGCTGCGCTTGCTGCTTCCAATCCTTGCTGGGACTGCCCTGATGAGTTTGTGTTCGGGTCCAATAAATAGAAAAACATGTTTCCTTTATTTTTAGTATCTGATGCTGCATGCTGTGGGTGATATTTAGGCTAGTGGGAGTTGTGCCTGACAAGAGCCATGTTATTTCTCACCAGGTCTTTCCAAACCCAAACTGCACGCCAAACACTTCCTTTGATCTATTATCAATCTTTGGCATTCATTCTGTTCCCTTGGAGGCGTTGGCGACAAAGAAGGCGATTGGCATCGGCCGTGGCAAAGGCTACAACAGCATAGAGTTTGAGGTGCTGCGGTCAACAGCAATATTACTGGCAAGTAAACAATGCCACTCAGTCAGGAAAGGTCGCAGAACCAGTCAGATTTGACCACTGCGCTGCGAGGGCTCATGTAATTCTGGCTCAGTGAAAAAGCCAGCTGTGGGGGAACCGCTGCTCAACTTGTTCCACACTCTATGGCTTGCCAAAACCAACTGCTTATTTGGGGCAACAAAATTTGACTTCTGGCTTGACTTTTAGCTCTGCAGCAGGCTTCGTTGTTGGAACCATTGTGGGGCCGGGCGTTGAGGGCCTTCATTTGGGGGGGCACTGCGTGTTTTTCTTTTTGGGTGCATTCGCATTAAGTTCCATTCCCGGTGGCATTGGAAGCTTGACATTTGGCATTAATTGAGGGCTTCCATTTTGGGGGGCGTATTCTGGTAGCAGGTGTGAGGCTGAGGGCTTTCACGTTTTTGGTAGCCTTGCAAGCTTAGGAAACTGACGAAATTACACGCCTGTTTTGCAAACTTGTTGTCGTAATTGAATTAATTGTCAGTCAAGGAAATCCCTTTACCTTGAACTCACGCCCTCCGCAACGGATGCAAATTGTGTCTAGGCAATAGCAGGTGGAACCACTGCTTGCCTTTTGCAAGTTTATGACTTCAAAAACCAATGTATTCATTGAACTTGACCCCTGGGCCGTGTTGGCTCTTGAAATCGATGCACTTCCACATCCATAACCCCCAAGCCGATGCACTTGAGGCTTAGTAGGCGCAATCTCGATGACTTTGAACCCTTAAGCAACTGAAATCGATGCACTTTGGAGTCCATGGCCAAATCGAGGCACTTTGTTCGGGCATCACCCGAAAATCAATGCAGTTCATGGCCCGCTAAATCGATGCACCACTTTGGGACACCACCCGAAAATCGATGCACTTTGGAGTTCATGGCCCGCTAAATCGATACTTTGGGACATCGCCCGAAAATCGATGCACTTTGGAGTTCATGGCCCGCTAAATCGATGCACCACTTTGGGACATCACCCGAAAATCGATGCACTTTGGAGTTCATGACCCGCTAAATCGATGCACTTGGGGATAGAATTTGCGTAATATCGATGCACCTTGAGTCGGAAAACCGATGGAATCGACGCACAGTGCATTGGTTTCTGTGAACTCTGAGGTTGCGGCCGGGCCAGCTGAGCTGCCGGCAGGCTGGATCTGGGAAACCCGGCTGTGCAGTTGACATTGTGCATTGATTTGTCTTGAAAAACCTAGACCTGAAATCAAGGTACTTTGCGCGGAAAAGTGCATTGATTTCCCACTCTGTAGCTACCTGTCATTGATTTCAAAGTTTAGACCAGGCTGATAGATCAATGACGTGCCTGAAAAGTCTGGAAGGTCAATGCACTTTACGGGGCGAAGCGCATTGGTTTAGGTTTCAGATGTTGGGAGTGAAATGCACGTGATTATGTGTTGGACGCACGTCAGGTCAGCGCTTGCCTTCATTCCATTGCCATATTGAACATGATTCATAATCAGGAGCTGTTTGTGGACCAGGGTGTTGCTTGTAGCTGGGCTCATGGCGCAGTTGGCGCTGCCGGGCTGCGCTACTGAGAACAGAGTTCTTGTGCGAGCGCGTAAAAAGGTTCTCAAGGATGCCAAGGAGGAGGACGCAGGCCTGAGCAGCGCTGGATCTTCCCCCCCGAAGAAGTTTGTGACCGAGGTGGAGAAGAAGCTGAAACACATGAAGGGCGACACTTCCTTTCTGAAGGCATTCCCGGGCAAAAGCATCAACGTATTTACAAATTTTCGAAAACATCTTGAAACTGTGCAATTCCGGTTTATGCTGGTCAGGACCTTCGGACAAGTGCTTGGGAGACGCCCCTTTGCCGAACACAACCCGCAAGAGGCTCCGAGAAAACGTGACAAACCATGGCTCTTGCTCTGGTCCGATGCTTGCAGCTCAGTGCAAGGCTGCCACCTAAGAGCTTTTGCTGCTTGCAAAGACCCAATTGTCCGTGGAGCCATAATCCACGCAGCAGCAATAGCAGCATTGTCGGTCTGCCTGTGTTGCCCACGAGCTCCTGCCTGCAAACTGCTTCGGCAAGCAGTTCGCTGACAGTCATTCACAATATTTGTTCGCATCTTGGTTTTTGGGTTTCCCGGCTCTCCTTGTTTCAAGATCATGGAGTCCTCTTTGGATTGGAAGAAAACAGGAAGGGCAGCGGAGATCCCCTCAAAAGGCTGGTGTCGCCAAAACCACATGGCTTCCAGTTGGAAATGGGGCATCCACTTTCAGCTTCCCAAGCTGCTGGACGTTATATGCTTGTGGGAGAACCATTCAAGGCGTGATGAAACGAAGTAGACGAATCCACTCAGAAAGTGAGCTTTTAAGCCACTATACAAGGGGGTATATATCTGATCTCCCCAGTCAGGTGGAGAACAACCCTTTCTGTGATACCAAAGTGGGATTCGCATCACCATGACTACTTTGTCGCTTCAGAAAATGGTTGCCCCCGTTCCCTCTCCAAGAACCATGTAATGCCCTTTAACTTGGGTGTCGCTGGGGATGGCCATGAACCCTCCAGTAATTTGGACAACAACAACCCTTACAAGGGTTCCTAGGAACCGCCATGACCACTGCGTACAACTACCGGAAGTGCTTCATGGCACATTGATCCTCTCGAATCCCGCGTCGAGGCGATGACGCGCGCCCAAGCGCGATGGGACGAGATCGCAGTGCCCCTCTGCCCACACGAGCTCAAGGCAACCCCTCAACGCCTCGATCGGTTCGATGGGTTCGAGGGTTCGTGGGTTCGAGGGTTCGAGTCGTGATTTCCTGCCCAAGGCGGGGTGTTGTCCAGACAGGGATGTAATGCTCGGGAATTGCATGGGTTGTCGCAGATGGAGCATTTGGTTGCCATTTACAGTGATAGGAAGGGAACCCCTGTACAGGGATCAAATAGTTGTTTTGGCATGGCCCTTTTAGCATCACAGAAATGGCACAGGGTTGTTTGCTCAAAATATGGGAACACAAATGAGGGCTTCAGATAGGAGGCATCAACATGCAACAAGTCCTTGAATTGACCGGATCCAGCCAGGTGCATGCTTGTGGCAAATTTGGTACGGTGACTTTCTGTGATACCAAAAGAATCCCCATTGATCTTATTGGATGATTCAAGCTGATGGATTTCCCCCAACCAGATTTCCTTTCAAAGGCGCACTGGGTCCCCATACTGTGGGTGGACGAAGTCTTGCACCGCTTTGAAACCAAGGGAAACCATGGTTTGTTGGTATTTACAGGGAAGCATCATTCCAGGGTTTCTTAGGTGGTGCAGGATTTCGTCCATCCACAGTAGTTCCATGCGGCCGATGGCTTTAGCATTGGCACTTATCATGGCGTTCGCCGAATGTTGAGCCTTGCCAGGGTAGCTGGAGAGTGGGATCTTGGTATTTCCAGCGGATTTTCCCCAACGCGTTCGAACGATTTCCCTGGACGCGTTCCAGGAACCCTTCAATCCGGAACCCTTAAAAAGGTGGTGCAGGCAAAAGCCCGGGTTGGTGTCGCAAGCTTCACCCGATTGTTCCATGAGACTGAGTGATGTGAGGCTGAAATCCTTGAATATGTTTGTAAACAATCACAGAGGTGGACAAGGGGCTGGGGGCCTTTTTGAGAGGATAGTGGTCTTCCAGAACCCGGCCATCCGGACATGCTCACCCCATGTGCAACCATGCTGCCACGCATCCCCTGACCGCCGCAATGTATCTAGGGGCCCCTTCCTGGTCGGCAAAGGTAAGGGCCCTCCACAAACGACACTCTCTACCAAGAAGGGAGGGAACCCTCTGGCATGGAAGGAAACTGGGGCAAGAAGTCTTCCGAAAGGCGATTCGCCTTTTCGCCTTTCAACCTTCATTTTCCACGAAAAGGTGTGCCCCTGCAGATGAACAGAGGGACCCTTGTGCCCTGTTGTTTTCCTTCTGTTCGTCCGGGTCAGCGGGTCAAAAGGCAAATCCTCGATTCAAAGGGTTGACCCAAAGGGTGGTCAAGGGGAGATCCGATTTCAGCCATACCCTTGTTTCACCCAGGGTCAAAAGCTAAAGCTTGGATCTATACCACTTGCTATTTTTTTGTTTGTTTACGCTGATTAATGAACCAATGGTACCATTTTGGGGTAGGTGCACCACCCAATTTAGGATGTTCACTGGCGGTACGGCATTTGACCCATAGCCATATGGCGCTCCCAGTCCACTTTTCGCCTCTCTCAGCTCTCTGCAAGGCGCCGGCCTTGCACCGACTGCTGGGCCACGAGCAGCTGCAAAAGCACATCTTCGGGGGCAAGGGCGCCAGAGCCTCGATCCTTCGAAGCGGACACCTGCATCAGATTTCTTGACTTGGCGGCTCCCAGCATCCCCTTAGCTTATTGTTTAATGGCCTGCGGCCTGGTTCCGCCGCCCCCACACACCTTAGAATTTCGGCCCGGGACGAGAGAAAGCACGCGTGCACAGACTCTGTCGCGGACACGAAGACAGACGCAGATACGTAGACAGACACAGACAGACACAAAGACACGCAGACAGACACGCAGCGGGGGGGAGGGTCTTCGCGGACACGAAGACAGACGCAGATGCGTAGACAGACACAGACAGAGCCAGACAGAGACAAAGAGACACACACACACACAGACACGCAGGGGGGGACACGAAGACGGACGCAGATACGTAGACAGACACAGACAGACACAAAGAGACAGAGACAGACACGCAGGGGGTCTTCGCGGACACGAAGACAGACGCAGACAGACCCAGGCAGACACAAAGAGACACAGACAGACACGCAGGGGCAGGGGGGTCTTCGCAGACACGAAGACAGACGCAGATACGTAGACAGACATAGACAGTCACAGGGGGGGGGGGCGGCGGAGGGGTGGGGGAAGACTACCCGAAGCCTAAGGGAAGAAGCCCGAAAGCACAGGACACGCGATTGAGCCCGTCCTAACGCACGTTGTTTGGTCCCGAAACACCATCGGAAGACTGGGAAGAGAAGCAGGAAGACTACGGGAAGAAGCCGACAGACCAAGGAAGATTACGGGAAGAAGCCGGAAGGAGGGGGGGGGGGAGGGGGGGGGAGAGGAGGGGGGGGGGGAGAGGAGGGGGGGGGGAGGGGGGGGGGGAAGGGGCCGGAATCCAGAGATCCAGAAATCCAGAAATCCAGAGATCCAGAGATCCAGAAATCCAGAAATCCAGAAATCCAGAGATCCAGAAATCCAGAAATCCAGAAATCCAGCCGACGTAGAAACCAGCCCCAAGAGCCGCCCCAAGGGACATATATATACATAATCATATTCACATTCAACTTACAGAAAGCATATCAACAAAAGCAACACAGAACACACCGCCCCCATGCCGAAAGCATGGTCCATTCTGGACCAGGCATGGAGTCGGCGGATTGTTTTAGTGTTCAGTGGTAGTTTCCATTTAACCCACTAAAAGTTAAACTTTTAGCCGGGAATCTGAGGGCAGCCCAGTTGAGTGAGGCGAAGGACGGGAGATGTTTTGGGTTTTGGGCGCTTGTGGATGGGGGAAGCCGTGAGTCTGGGGTTTTGTAGGTTCAAGGCGAAGGTGTGTTGGTCTTTGCCTAGCCTTGGTACAAAATCTGGGGCAGTAGAACATATACTGTACACGCACACACACACATATGCATGTAGCCCCACTGAGAGAGTCGCATAAGGCGAACAAGGTGCGTGTCTGTGTAGTCTCCCAATGAATTCCCATTGGGGTACGTGACAATTGGGGTCCACCAGGAGAACTGACACGTGCCCTTGAATGTCTGTTTTGCCCTTAGATCGCCCTTGGTTGAACATAACGGCAACCTAAAGCCCAGTTGAAACGAAAACGACTGACAACTACCCCACAATGAAAGGGCACCCCTAAACATGGTCGGGATTTTTCCGAATTGTAGCCTTCCCCGCTACTCACCCCTTGGGCCTCTCTCAGCATGCTCGGAACGCCAAAGAATCCCGATGCCCTCACAAAGTGCCCCCAGGTTGGAATGCGCTCATGTATCGCCAATCGTTGTGTTTACCATTCGGAGTCATATAACCCCAACTTGAACAAAGCAAACCAAGAATATTCCAGGGGTTCTGTACAAATTTTGTTCCCACCCCCGACCAGGTGCTGTTCGGTTGCGCCCCTGAGAGTACGACTCGCCAAGGTGGGCTCACAGGGAGATGGCAGCGCGCAGCTGGTGTGCAAATCCGCCACAGACCAGGCGCGGGCAGAGAATTCAGGTTTCGGGGCGCTTGGGACGGTTGGGTGAATCAACGTCTCGCGCTTTCCTTTTCTGCGCACGGGGGCTATCCGCGCCAACCTGAAGCACAATAGAAGGGGAGAATCGGGAAACAGGACATCCGTGCGTCCAGCCGACACATGTCTTCCGCGTGTGCTGGGTGCCACGCGTGCCATGAGTTTTTCACAGCTACATTTTATGCGTGCCGTGGTGCTTAAGCAACACTTTGCCTGTACACCAAAGTTGCATGTATACCATGCTGCGTGAACAGCAGCAGCATTTCGGGTGTGCCCGTGCCATGGTCATTGACCGCGAGCATTGCAATCGTGCCATGGTCATAAAACACTAAAGTTGCGCGTGCGTCATGGTAATTGAACACCACAGCTTTGCATTCATCATGATCATTGAGACCAACATTTCACGTTTGCCATGGTCAGTGAACTGCAACATCTACGATTGCCTTGTCGTTGAACTCGATTGCACAGGTGTCATGATTATTTGACCCAACATACCACGTCCAGGGTCACTTGCCACCCTTCTCATTGTCAACTTTGGATCTTTCAGGCCCACAATTACTGGGGCCCGGGCCACGCCGATGCTGCCATGGTTCTTCCAGATTAGGAATGTCGGCCAGCCCTTCATTTTGAACGACTCAATACGTCAATACTCCTTTGGCGGATTTGCCCGGCCTCCCTCACTTCCCAAGTCTCCGGACTGTCCCTCAGTTTTCTTCCATTTGCTTGAGAATATTTGTTGTTTTCCCCTGTTGGTTTTAAATATCACTACTGGAAATAGTTGTTTTCCTCCATTTTTCCCAGGGGTCTTAAGAAATGGAAGTCTTTGTTCTGCGCAGGAGGAGGCCATGACGATTGTGAAGTCCTTGGGGATGGAGCCTTTGAAACTCACCATCCCCAAGCCCGGGGCCTCAGACCTGGAAGGGTCTCACCGATGTCCTAAAGCGAAAGCCACGGCAGGATCTTTTTTTTTTTTTTCTTCCTTTCTCTTCTTTTAACCTCGTTGAAGATCTTCTAGAAGAGTCTTCCCTGCAATCTTGAATCCAGGCCCCGACTGAAAACGACTGAAACAGAGTTTGAGAAAGACATATTGACCTTTACCATGATGGAACCGGGCAATGGGTGAAACGGGCGCCGCTCGCTTGCACCCATGGTGGTCCTGTTTCTACCTCACAACACCCACTCGATGGGTTTTGGTGGGTTTTTCAGTTGCCAAGAGGGGCAAACCACATGGAACCTATAGACGGGGTGGCGGGGTTGGGGCTTCGGTAAGGGGTGTCAAGGTAACTGGAACTGACGGTGCTCTTCAACCAATCGCTTGCAAAGTAGTTTTGCTGTGGGGGGGGGGGGGGGGTTGGGGGTGATGCATTCCTACTTGCAGCCAAGCATGTTGGAAAATCGTTCCAACAGACACAGGGTTGTTGAACCCTTTAATGAGATGTCTGATTCTGCATGAATACTACGCAGGGTCTGCGATCTCAGGGACCCTTCAGTGGTTTGCCCTGATTCTCGTTTGGTGACATGCACTGCATATCTCGGGTCTCCCCCAAGACTTGAGGAAGCTGAGGGCCAGCTCTGCTTGTTTTGTGGATTCACGGATTTTACTCCATAGGCACCCCTTTTGGGTGGCTGCAGTCCTCCTAGGTCTCCAATTGCCACCTCCTTTTGTTGGAAGCAACTGCGACTGTCTTAAGAGAAGTGTGTCTGGAGCAAAACAGCAACGGGGGCGTCTAGGTCCAGGCCGTTTCTCCGTTTCTCCAGGCAGAAGGCGGTGCGCATCGCCATCGTCCCCATCGCAGGCACGCGGCGGCAAAGCCGAGCAGGTTGTCTCAAAAGGAGGGAAGGGTGGGTTTTCCCACAAACAAAACCAAGGAACTGTAAGGAATTCACAAGGAGCCAAGTTTCAGTGGTTAGGCTTTTGCCTTCTCATATTGAGTTGGCCATTACACTCCCAGGAGCCTTCAACTTCATGATCAAAAAGGGTGTTGAGAGGTGATTCTGGGCAAGACCATGAGGCGCGCCACAATCAACACGTGCGGCCTAGACTCCTCCAACAACGAATTCGGATTCTAAGTCCTCTTTGCCTCCAACCAGAACCTTAGGCTGTTTGACTTTGAACTTTTAGATTTGAGGCATCAACGAACCACGCTGCACCGAATCAAGACCTCAGCGCTCGGCAGTGTCCAGTTCAAAAGACCATACATCAAGGTAAACCAAAGGGCACCCAATTAACCTTTGTAGCCGTCCTGGGTCAAAAAGCCCAATCCTAGTCTCAAGAGTTTGCTGGGAGTGCTCCGAGCCTTCCAAAGAGAACCAAAGTAGGGAGTAGAGATTTCGTTTGGTCTCTTTTGCCTTGGAAGTCAGAGACCATTAAGAGAAAAGTTCGCCGTAAGCTGTCATGTTTATTCAAGAGGATACACAACGGCCTTTATGGTCCTTCCTTTCTAAGGCCTTTTCATAGGCTGAATGTAGATGTCCATACGGGTGTTTTTCAACAGAAGGGTCCCTAGAATGGTAGGGTTCCTCTTGGTTTCCCTTTAGAATACTAGCTATGCGGGAGGGGTTCACCATGAGAAGCTCCGAGACGTGAAACGCTGAACCCCATTGGTTTATTGGTGTAGAACCGCGCGGATTCCTTTTGAGCCTTCGGACCCCTTGGTAAAGCTCGAGAAGGCCTAAGGCGTACTTGGGCCGTCCGAAGAAACACACCTGTATGATTTCAGCCATGTACTTGGGGACCCCCCCCGAAAAAGAAAGGTGCCTGATGGTTTCACGATTTGCATTTGCCAAGGTTCCCGCGTTTGCCCAGATCGATGTGGTTGAATGGATTGCGGTTCATTCGGCATCCAGGTGCCTGCGCGGGGATGTGGCCGGCCACCAAGTGACCTTGCCCAAAATTCAGCCTACTTGTTTTGTTTTGCTTTTGTTTGTACCTTTTGGGTTTTGGATTTTCGGTTTTGTTCTTGTCTTTGTTTAATTTTTTGTTTGTGACTTAGCCTAGCTTATTCACCTTTCCACTGCCAGGTAAACGTTTGATACTTTTGGATACCGGGGGTGTCATCATTTCCTTTTTGAGGGAACCTGGAAGACCGCTTTACATTGCCAGACCTTACCCTGTTTTCCGCATTCTTTGATAGTTTGTGGTGCTCCTTCCATTTTCAACCAGCAAACAAGTTCATGTTTTCTCCTTTTCGACCTTGGTCTTTCCTTGTTCTTTTGGCTTTTGCAACTATTCCATCTTGCCTTGGTCTTCCTTCATTCTCCTTTGGTGTTCCTTCACTTGGCCTGGAAACCATCCAATAAATCATTGCGTTTCCCAGTCTCAAATTATCAGTTCCACCAACCAAGCAGCGGATCGAAAAGGTCCCTGGGGAACTCCCTTTGAAAGCGACAAAGTTGTAATGGGAATCCCACTGGCCTGTATCTTAGAAAGATACTTCCCAGTGTCCAGTTTTCCACACCCAAAAATGGGTTACCAGGGGAAAAACCTTACAAACAAAACAACACCAAAAGACAACACACGTGCTCGACTTTTTGCCAGCCAATCGTTTTACTTAATTTCGCAACCGCTGGAAGCTGGATCTCAGGTGCGTGGGTCCCTGGCTCTTCCCGGTGCGGCGCTTCTCCAGCGTCAAGCCGGCCATCGCCTGGCCGCCTGGCCGTGCGATTGCCAGACGCGTGGAGTTGGGGTTGGAGGGGTTGGAAGGTCTGGAGGAGCTGAGCCAAGGGAATCACCTGGAACTCAGCTTCACTCAAGGGGAGGTTTGGAGCCCCAGATTTGGAGATTTGGAAGGAGTTTCCCATTTGGCCTCTACGAGAATCAGCTTTTTTCGAGTCCCATGCCACGGATCCAAACCACCAGTTAGAGGGAAGCCGAGCAACCGAGCAATTGATCCCTCAGTGGAAAAGGGAAACCAACACCGGCCTGCTTTCGAGGTAACCCTTGGATGGCTTGGGGGTTTGAACCTCAGGCGGTTTGGATGTGTCCTTTGCATTGATGGTGTGGGGTTGCCAACACGTGGTTTCTGTTTGAAGTTTTGGGGTTGGCTGAGAGTTGCCAATCTTTAGGATGCCCGGGTGTTAGTTGTCTCACCCTTTGAGTTTGTGCAGTGGTAAGCAACAAGCTGGGACTTTGTTTAGCCAATCCACACAGGAAGTGAGTTGCTTCAAAGGAACTTATGGGGTTCCTCAAACATGTGCGAAGTGGGGGGAAAGGGGAGAGGGTTGGGTACACATTGTTTCCCTTTGAACCATACGAAAGGGGCGCACCTCATTTCTGAGGTAGACGACCATAAGTTTCTGGGATGGGGTTTTTAATGTAGACCCATACAGGGAAGACTGGGAAGCCATCATCAATGCATGAGCTGTTACAGGGGTATATACTGCTGGTGCAGTACATGGCTCCATTCCTGGGGATCCCATCCCATGGCCGAGCTTTTTCAGCCGAAGGCCTGACACGTTCGGAATGATTCGCTGGGGTGAGACCATAGGGCAACCCTGTCACAGGTGGGGCTCGGTAGCGTGCCCCAACGGATTCGTTGGAGAATAAAGCTTCCGTGAGCAGACATGGAATCAGGGGTCTTTCTTGGGAGGACCAATCCATCTGGCACGCGCACCAACACTCAGCCACAGAACCCTGGTAACTTGGGCAGGTTGCGTTTTTTGCCGGGTTTCCACAAACCGCTATTTGCTTGGATGGTTGGATCTTTGGACTTTAATTTGTTGGGATCATCCATGTTGTCCCGCCACAAGCCAACAAACCTCAGGGTGCGGAGTCTGACATTACCTAATGAACAAGTGGGGGTCTCCTCCAAAACCAAGATACGGGGAGTCGAACCACCCGCCTCTCAGCCCAGGCTCTGTGAAGAGCTGGTGGCGGCGGGCATTGCGCCTGGGACGTCACGCGCAGTTTCTGCTCGTTGGAGCACAGTGGCAAACCAGTTTTGACATTTGGCCAATCAGTGAGGTAGGGAGCGTTGATCCCATAGAATCCACCCCCACTTGTTAAATAGGGTCCGGAGGGGACGGCTCCTTCAGTGACCGGGTCCATACCTGTGGTTCCACCACAGCCCTGAAGGGTAAACTTGAGGTAAAAAGTAGATAAGTGGTTAAAGAAGGTAAGTAAGCCCTGAATAAGGCGTGGACGTCGTATTTCTCTTTCGGGTGTTGGTGTAGGGGTCGGGAAGCCACGGTTTGGCTTTCCTTGTTTAGCAACCATAGTTGCTTCCTCAGCTTTTGCCCCACAGCCAAAAGTCGGGATTTTTGTTCCGGTGTGAACCTTAAAATGTAAGAAGAATGCCCAACATATCCCAGTTGATCCGGAGGTCAACAATGAGGGTCCAAAGCTTAAACGCCAAATGTTCTTCGGCGGTAGCCAGGAAGCTTCGCCGTGTCCACTATCAAAACGGTGGTTCTTTTTCAGCTTGACGACGGTCATCTGGGCAATCGAAACCCTGACAAGCGAAGGATAGTAAAGGACAGTCCCAAGCTCCCAAGCCCAACCATACATTGGTGTTCGCCCTTTGAATTCTTTGCATGGGGTAGGCCATGTTAATTCTTGGCAAGTTTGATTATGACGCATGTCGACTTATTATGATGAATTTGGCTGAAACCCGTTGGATTGGGAGGGGGGGTGGGCAACTCCAACAGTGATTTGTAGTTATCCTCACAAATTTGGCCGCACCACTCCGAACTGGCCAGTTATTCGGTTTACCGTTCCCCTTTCAGCACGGAGATAGATTCCTGATTCCCGCAAATGCAAGTAAACCAGCCAAAAGCCATGGGAATCGCACTAGGGGTCCTTGTTTCCAAGACAGTTTGAGTCAAGCCCGGAGGGAGAAGTTTCCATCACAGTTCCATGAGAGCCAACCACCCCACCACCCCTCATTTCTCCAAAATCAGAATCCGATACCTAGGGCCTTATTTGGAGGAAACCATGGGGAGGGGGGGGGGTGAATCCTGTGATTGCACGGTTCATGGTTCACCTCTGAAATCCCAGGATTTTAGCATGACTTATCCCTTCCAACCATTTGCGGAAAACTTGGCTTTAGGGCCACTGTCTCTGATGCCAGGAGAAGCCTCTTAAAAGTGACACGATAGTCTCAGAGATAGGGGCAATCCCACTTTGCAATCAGAGATTTCCGGTGATTTTCCACCGTAGAGTTGCCAAAAGGAGCGAATCCTGCTTGTGGTGAACCACACGACGGAAGTGGAGATGACCAAGCTCTTTAAGCAGAGGGAAGAGGCCAGGAACAGAGTCTCCTCACTCCCCGAGTTCCGGACTTTAGCAGGGCTCCCTATATTCCTCCTTTTGAACATCACCCCACCTGCACTTTTTTTCTTGAAATCGGCCAATCAATGTGATGCTTTAGATCAACAAATGTGTTCGGAACCCTGCTTAGCTACGTTCTCCCCTACTAGTGGTTGTGCCTTTGCTTGCACAGGAATCGACTGTAGTGCTCCGCGCCCTCTTGAAACTGGAAGGGGAGGGGCGGGGCCCCTGGAATTTATGTTTTATGCCATTTTCCCTTTGACGGCAAGACTAGGGCTAGGGAAGACAATCTTCGTGGCAAACACACTGTTTTGTTTGCCAATCCACTCAAAAAGTTGGCCCAATGATTGCCGAGGCCTTTGTCCCTGTCACGTTTTTGCTTGTGGGGGTACTTCAGGGCTTTCTTCATAGAAGTCCAGTTCGCATCAATTGGGATGGATGAAACACTATGGACGAAACCAACTGGTGCTTTGCGCGGATTTCCTCTAACATCCTTTGAGCATTCCCTTGATTAAAAGAACTCGGAGGAGTTTTTGAATGGATCGGAGGTGGCGGTGCTGGACGGTGTGTCGCACCACCTCGACGGCTACGACGAGACGCTGCTCTCTATAGGCCGATGTCTTGCGGAAAACCGGGAGTTTCAGGGTGGCCAAAAGGGAAAGCCACGCATTCTGGGTGCAGTTCCTTTGATTTCCTTTGGTTTCTTTTGGTTTCCTGAGATTTCCTTTGGTTTCCCTTTGGTTTCGTTTGTTTGGATCGGAGATGCGGATAGCTGGGGCTTGATCTTTGCCCAGGGAATCCCCCTGAAGATGACAAAGTCGCCATCAGGGCTGGGAATCCCACTTTGCCGAGGGAATTAGCTTTGACTATTACAAGATGAACAAAACCCAATATTTGCAACCGGTGTGATCTAGACCAGATTCAGGAGATGGGAACATATCGCATCTTCAGCTGAACAAACATGTACATAGAGTTGTGAATTGAATCTTTGGCAATGGTTCAGTGCTCAGCTCGCGTCGCCCAGCTTCAAATGACCTCAGGCTCCTCCGGGTTCGCAATATTTCCGCCTTTGGGAGGTTTTACAAAGATTGGAGTTGGCTTCCTCGTGACATCGTGTGCTGTTCAAGGAACATCTCATTTCCAGCGAGTTTCCTCCTGGGGTGCTTAAGGAGAGCCTCTGACGCCCTGTCTCCCATGTGGCTGTGGGTCAATAATAGGTACCCAAGATGGCTTGCCCAATCAAATGGAAACATGGGCTAAAACCTGCGGTCCCCTGTTGGTTTAATTTTGACCCAGACCCATGTTTCCGGAGGCGGCTCGCTCGCTCGTTCGTTTTTCGCTCGTTCGAAGGCGAGCGGCTGACCTTCGTGCGCCAGGAGAAGCCTTCGAGCATCCGCCAGGCGCTGCTGCTCTGCGAGCGTGAGGCGAGGCCTGGCGTCCTTCGAGTCGTTTGGTTTGGGTAGCCGTCCCCAGACGATCCCATGGCTGTGGGTCAAAATGGGTAAATGGAGCCCTGGTAAATGGAACAAAGGACTAAAACCTGCGGTTGGAGGCTTAATTTTGACCCATACCCACATGGAAGCTCCCGAACGGACCCCTTTCAAAGACGTGGTCCCATTTACAGAGGTTTTTCTGGGAGCTTCCATGGCCTGAGGGAGTGTAGCAATGGATGGATGCCACTGGTTTAGATGGGTTTTATTGCCCATTTACCAGAGGAAGCCATCCGTGTTTCCCGGAAGGTCACCTGTGCGAATAATTGTCTGTGTCACGGACATGGGTTCCTTGGAGCTCTTTTGGGGTTGGGTGTTTCCGAAGATTGAGCATTCTTCGGGTGAGCACCCCCAGTGAACAAGAAAAACACTGGAACGAAATGTGCCGCCCGTTCTTCCAGAAGCTCCAGCCTTCTTCTGGCCATGAGCTTCAATCGAACAACAGGGCTGGGTGCAAAGCACGCCTTGCTTGTATCAACGACCAGACCCTGGCCCCCTTCAAAGAAGGTGGTATAGACGTGCTTAAACCATGGGGTCGGCCCAACCAGGTAGAACTCCCTGAAATCCACTGCACTTTGTTCTTTTTTGGGACCCATTGTTCCCTTTCTCAGTGAAACACAACGAGCAGGGACCGGGCAAGGCAGCTACCAAACACTTTGAGGGACCCCCTTTATGGCCACGGGCAAGAGGGCACTCCTTTGTTGGTAGTTCGCGGCACCTGGTCTCAGATCCCCCCGAAGAGTGAACGAAGCCCATGTCCAAATACTGTGCTTGCACCATCTGTCACAACCTTCCAATCCAAGTACAGCATCTAAGGCTAAGCCACACTCTCCTATATCCAGCACCGTGCCCGCGAGCGCACGCCTGCGGTCTGTGCAAAGGCTGCGGCAATACCATGCCCGAGCCGTGCCCATTGAGCGGTATGCTTGAGCCGTATTCTTGATGCCCTATGCTTGTCAGGGCTGCCCAAAGGACCATTAAAGGATAGATCGGTTTGTCCTTTCTTGAGGGCTGGATAGCCATGTTGCTGCTCGCGGACACTTTTCCCTTGAAAGTACAGCGGCTTGGAAAGAAACAGCACAACGCGGAACAGGCGATCCAAGCAACATCCTCACTCATCAGAATCCCTCAGCCCTGGGGTTGTTTTGCCCCTAACTTTCGGCGGAAGGCAATCCCTAATTGGTGGTTTGGATTGGTTTGGGGATTCAACCCCAGTTTCTGATCGGCAAGTGGGAAACCCCTCCGCCAATCCCAATCCAAATCACCCATCACACAGCCTCCGTCAGCCTCCACATCTAAACTCCAATCCAATCCAAATCACCCAACCCAAGTTCAAAAACGGCGCGCTCCAAACGGCTAGGTGTTACAAGAAATAGGGACCCTTCTGGTTTTTCCTTTGGCTAGGTGGATGGGGAGCCCTTCCTGCTGGCCTGGGGCGACCACTTCTGCCGCTCTACCTCGGACCGTGCCGAATCGGTCCCGACTCGGTCCGCAGATCGGCGCGGGGAACGGGGGGAAGAAGCGGGAAACGCGAGGGACGGGGGGTGGTGCTAAGTTTCTTGGGTGCATTTTGCCCGGGGAAATGTTAGGACTTTCACTTTTTGCCAACTAATGGGTTTCCCATATTAAACCACTAAAAAATAGACACACCCCACCCCCCAAATCTAGTAGCTCTAAAAACTGAGATCTACAACCCCCCAAATCGATTTCCAAGCACCCCAAAAAAAAAACGCAAAAGTTGGGAGCAGATTTCGCACTCGAGGGAACCGCCCCGGCCCATTTGGAGGACACGAGCTGCGTGGCGCAGCTGGTGAACGCCTTCTCCTCACGCTCCGTGGCGACCCGGAGGAAGTTTCGTGGGGGTCCCCTCTATGGACCGCAGCTGTTGGAGTCCATGTTTCCATTTACCGATGGGTTCCATTTGGGGTACCTTTTTTTGACCCACACCCATATTCCCCACGGTGAGTTCAAGTTCTGCACCTTTGGGGCCAATCTTAAAGTGATGTTTGAAGGGAAAATGTCGGGAGCCCTGCTTCGTTCGATTCCTTTCCCCCCTCCCTCAACCCTCAAGCCCGCGCTCCTCTCGGTTTCAGGTCTGGGAAGCCAGGAGCCTTAGACAAGAAAGGGTCCTTTTTCCCACTGGAGGTACAGCAAAAGGCCGAGAATGCGTGTCGTACTTTTGGGGAGCGTGGGGGCGGGGAGGTTAAGGGAGTCGGGGGGTTGGAATCCTAGAGTTGGCGGCTGAAGATGAGGGCTCGGGTTTGACTCGCCGCATGATAGGACATTTGGGGGTGGTTTGTTGGTGGCCGCCCTTTTGGGCTTCCAGAAAGAAGCCAGCAATGTCGCGAGTTGCACTAGAAGTTGAATGGGTACTTGGCACGGAATGTCCGGTGGCACCGCCCAAGACCCGAGCTGGGATCTCAAGGGGATTGGACCCATGCGTTTGATTCGGGGAAGTATCCGCGGCCTTGTGAGTTCGCTTTTTGGAGATATGGCTTTCAAGGTACGTATGAGCTATGGTCAAAACACCCAAAACACCCTTTCACTTGGGCTAGGTTGGTGATGGAAAGTGCAAGAAGGAATTCGGACAGCCATTGCAAGCCAATTGTAAGGGTTCCGAATATTTCGGAGCTTCGGCCGCACCTGGGATTCCTGGTCCAGATTCCCAAATGTTACAAGAGTTGAGTGGCCAAACCGACACTTTCGGTCGCCAAGTAGACCAAGTCCAAATCCACGGTGTCGAGGCTTTTTCCGGGGACCCATTCACCTCCGCCCGAGGGAGCGGGGCTCAGGTGGGCATGCACTGCGTGGACAAGGATTGGCTGCACGCCACCGGGGTCTACGCCTGCAAGGAGCAGATCTGATCCGGCGCAAGTTGCAATGGCGATACCACGGAAAGGAAGAGACGAAGTTGGGGGCAAAAAAGGGGGAGGTACCCGCTCACAAAGAAAAAAGAGGAACCTGACAAGGGGGGGTTTTGCTGGAAGACTATTCTCCTTTTAAAGGGACCCTGGTTCCATGTTAATTGGTGGGAGGGTATATGATTGAGCCATCATCTTCATGGGGGTCGCAGTGTAGCTTGTTGACATATTATATGTGGTGATATTTGTGATAAGAGGAAGTTAAGTCTAGCAATGAGAAGATGATGATCTATCGCAACCTTGACTAATTCTGTTTGAGGGCATCAACGTTATAGGTTTCGAGTGCATCGATGGGGATCCCGACAATGTTGGCGATTTGCACTGGTTCTCAAGAAATCAACAATAATTTGAGAACAAGCCGTTTTGGGATCCCCTGGAGGGACACCATCAGTTGGGGAAGGGGATTCGACATTTTGGAGATCTCCATTTGTGGAATGTGTTGTTTTTTGTGAAGGGGAGGACTCGAAGACTGGAACTGACAAACCTCCCAGGCGCGGGTTGGCGAAGGCCCTGCAACATTTTGAGTTTTCGGGGTCCTAGCACAAAGCAGGTTTTTTTGGGCTAAATACTTCTTGCTAGTTCCTTCTCCTTCGCCGCGCTTGCCAAAGCTAGATGAGAGTTCTTCGAAAAGAACAGATCCGAAGTAGGCTCCAAGAAGCAACCTTTTGGGAACCGACCCCCAGCGGATTCCGAGCCAAGCGATCTGCAAGCAGCATGTTGGCATGAGTCACGGCATCGAAACGATCTGCAAAAGTTACCTGTGGACTTGGGACAATGGGCGAGTCCCTCCCGGGGTTTGTTGGAATAGTAAGTTTATCCCTTCCGCATTGACACTGGAGCAAATGTTGATGCAGCCCGAAATTGGGGCATTCCTCCGGGCAAACGTTATAACATGGCACCTGTGGGAGATTGACCTGGAAGGTCAATCCCCTCTTGAAGGGGCCCAAGTCAGGTGCCACATGGTACCATACTGTGGATGGACGAAATACTGCACCACCTCAGAGACCCTGGAAGGATGATTCCCTTGTAAATACCAACGAACAGTGGTTTCTCATGGTTTCAATTTGTGCAGGATTTCGTCCTTCCACAGTGGGAGGGCACCCATCCAGACATTTGATGAACCCAGAGGGTAACATGGCAGCTGCCGCCGACTTTGCCCGAGGAGCCGGCGCTGGGGTCCGACACCGAAGGGCCGGCGCTTTGGCCGCCCCACGGCTGGGAATTCAATGGGCCTGAAAAACAGGGGTCGCTGCAAAAATGTGTTCGTTTCCTTTTGGTTCTGCTCGAAACCGACCAAGAAAGGCCTCCCCTCCCAATCAGGGTCCCCTGGAAGAAAGGAATCCCCACTAAGCAGTGAATCGCCTGAATTATTAACGTTGGGGGGGGGGGGTATTTATAAGGGGCCGACAGTTGAGGGGCACTTTTGGTGTGTGTGTGTGTGCGCGTGCGTGTGTGTGTGTGTGTGTGTGTGTGTGCGGAGTGACAGAATGCCCTGTCACCACCCTTTCAGTTTCGCAGCAGGGGCGTGCAGCACCTTTGGCATACTGCACGCAATGAAGCTATTGCCAAAGGTGGGAAGGGTGTCCAGACGTGGACACCTGTACCTGCTTTCCGTGATTCTGAATGTCCTTTTGGCCCCCTTGGTTGCGGCGCTGTTTGTGCTTCTTGTTCTTTCCTGTAACGGTTTCGTTTCTAAAGTGAAGCCAAGTGACTTGCAAGCAGACCTCAGCCGAGACTCATCAGTTGTACTCGAGACTCATCAGTTGTACTCGAGACTCATCAGTTGTACTCGAAAGATTAGCACTCTCCTTTTGGAGTTCAAGTGTGTACACCCCATTCGTGGGGAATCCTCGGGTGTACCCATTGTGTGACCCCGGGCCGGCTCTGTCGGAAAATTTGACCTCAACGTGCGTATCATAGAACAGCGGAATTTCACATTTAATCAGGAACGAGGTTTCACTAAAGGGAAGAAAGCCGTCAGTTCATAGTGACGTTTCACCATAGTTGATAGCTGCCGATTTTCATTGCCTACCTTGACCATTGGTTGAACTTGTTGCTCGTATCATTGCGGTTGTCGATTGCTGACTTGTATTTGCTTTGCCTTGTACATTTCGCTCGACCATTGCAGTTGAGGGCCGCTAACTTGCATTTGCATGGATTTGAATATTGTCGGGTCTGATTCTCTCAAGGTGGAAGTGTGCAAATTCCGATCTGGTTGCGTCACCATGTCTCGACGTGATGATCGTGATAGATCCAGGACTCGACGCAGACGTGATCGGAGTCCGTCCCCTCAAGCTCACAAAGCACGCCGACGTGAGCACAATGACAACCAGGTCTCGGAGAACATGGATTGGAACAACTTGATTTCATGGCAACACAACTCCGGCTACAATGCTGCTAACAACTTTCCGATGGTGCCTACCAATTTTCAATCGACTCACAACCCCACACAACAATTCCAGTACCCGGCGATCAACTACATGATGCCGATCCCTCCTGAACCCACACCGTCCAAGTTCATCCCACCAATGATGCCACCACCGGTCACTACTTCCCAACCTACACCTTCACCTGGACCTCCTGCAGCTCTACCGGTTCGTCCTCAGAAAGCCTGGCTTACTCCCTCGCCTGACTGGACACCTGCAGATGGCATGTTTGATGTCAATCAACTCTACAACTTCAGCCTGCCCATGACTGTTGCCAACACTCCACATGGCAACCTTCGCGACATGTCAGGCATGGATATTAGGGACGTACGCCTGGTTCAGGTTATCCACGGGGGCCTCACCAACTGGCTGCTCAGGCCGTTTGCACACGGCCGATTCGTGACGTGGGAAGGCTTTCGCACCCGCACTGAAGCCTTACTTTGGAGTACCTGCTCCAAACTACTACGAAGATCGCAGTCACTCAACCTGCTCACCCTGGAAAAGGACCTTGCCAACACGCTGGGTCTCAACATTGATGACTTCAATCAGCGCATCAAGGTCCACGACCATTTGGCCAACCTGGTACTTCAATTTCTTCAACAACATCACACCTCTCTCGCACCTGCTGCCCAGACCGATGACATGGTCAAGAAGTTCAATGACTTGAATCGTGCACATGAACTTCTACAGGCTCAGTATTCCGCATCACTTCGCGCATCGACCTCGCCCACGATGACAAACCAGAAAGATGATGCAGAGTTGGTTACACCGCCACCGGTCAACCACACACCATCCTCGTCACCTGCCAGCTCCCTGCCCACAGCCAGCGCGGCCGCCCTGGATGGCAAGTCGTTTGATAGCGTGGTGCAACCTCGGATCATGCAGTCTCTTCACGGAGTGTCGTCACCGCCGTCCAAACCGGCGGCGTCACAGTTGCTCACCATGCACAGCACGCCGGATGAAGTTGTCAAGTACTACACATGGACCAGTGACCAACCTCGCCTTTTCCTCAAGCAAGCACCCACAACAACCACTTTGGCGTCGCTGGTTAAGTGGGCCAATCACCCGTCCCGGCTCAACGGCAACAAGTCGTTAGATTCTATGGCGACGCAGCTTCTTCAAGCCAGGCAGCGCATGCCGAAGGGCGATGCGCCCACACTCGGTGCAATGGCAGCACTATGGGGTCTTGAACCCGGGTACCTTACCAAACTCACCGAGAAGGCATTGAGTCACCTCATCGTGACCGCTCGCCTGCTTTGTGGATGAGAAGGCATCATATCGACCTTCGTTCTCATATGAGCCCGGCGCGGCAACAATGTCACGGATGAGTCCAGGTGAAAACTCGTCCGTCAAGTGTTTGCGTTGCACATGATTGATTTTGTACTTGCTTGTTCTTGCATTGCCTCTTGTGTGATTGTCTGTGATGCTTGTATTCATGTCGCCGCCTTGTGGTAGATTTCGTTGGTTGCATCTCACCATGTTGGATGAACTTCGCCATTGCGGAATCTATGATGATGTTGCACAATGGCAGTCGCTGGACGACCTTCTGCACTCGTTGACTACATTCTCGACGTGCTGGCATTACTGTTTCCCTGGACTACCACCACCGTCGATTCCAATTGAAGAGTACGAATCCATCACACAATTGCCGTGGCTGGGTCTCATCATCGAGGTCTTAGTTATGGTCCGGATAGCCCTCCAGATTCCGAATTGCGCTATGTCAAACTCTCAGCACACCGTGGCCAACAGGTACGAACTTCACAGATGTCGGTGCGCTGCCTATTTATTGATCAGTTTCTTACAACGTCTCATTTCACAGGATCACGGCTACATCCCGCCGTTCTTCGAAGTTCTTCACTTCTACAAGACTTCTCTCTTGTGTGAAATCATGCACTCAACTTTCGCTGACACGCGACATCTACGCTCATTGCGGGCGCGATTTCCTGACCTCTACGACTTCATACATGATCCAGGTCATCACCAACAACCGTGCGTCTACATTCGACTTTCCCCATGGCACACACCATACTATGTTGGGGCGACTGATCAGGATGTTCTACGTCGTGAACACTCACGCAGTCGCAAATTTCTACAACTACTTCGTGGACGGCATGCCTTCTTTGAACCGGCGCTTCACTACTGGAAGCGATCCAACACTTACTGGCTCTTCTGTGCTGTACCAGTGGAAATCAAACTTCCTGTTTCCTCGGTGTGGGTTCAAGAAAGCAAATGGCAATTCCTGCTACGCCCGCATTTGAATGCGCCCTGGGTACACAGAATCTTGCGCAAGGTGGGCTTCCGGGAGCATCTTGTAGATTTTCGACGCCACTCGTTGTCGTCGCCCACTTCCTTCGGCTTGCACAAGCGCTTTCGACGACGACTACATCCGGATCTCCAACGGCAACTACGACCTGACACCCTGGATGACATTCAAGCCCACTACTTGATCCTCTATCAGCTGGGATCGAATACAGGAGCGTCGTTCCAAGTCATGCGTGACCTACTGTCAGCCGCTTTCCCTCCCACTCAGCTGTACTACTTATTGCGGCTCGCAGTATTTGTCAACGAACCCTTCCGCTCCAAGGCCCAGAAGCTCCTCGCCCAGGTACTACGCAAACGACGGCTACAACCACCCACCACGTTAACACAGCTACTTTTGCCGCCGCTACATGTCCAGAATTGGAAAGCTCTACTGGGCACATGGTTACAAAGCTGGATTGCTTCTCATCGGGATCTGTTCCCCTCTCTTTTCCTTCCAAAGATCCGGGTTGTGGAAACTCGCAGCGCCACACTGGGCGACAAGATATACAACTATCGCACATGGCAGCGCAAATGGGCGCCTGACACATTCTTTCCGTGTCGCTGTTGGGACATCGATGATAGCCATCTACACCGTGCACATGGTCACGCAGTAATGTTGGATGAGTTTTCTCGCATCAATGCGGACATTAACATTGAAATCATGACCGCCTCGATGAAGGATCAGTTTTTCGGTGATGTCGACTTATTACATCAACGTTTCACCACACAACTTCGCAAACTTGCTCGACGCTGGCATGTACATGGTTCCGGTCTGCTTTCAGATCTACAGCCAGTTGTGTCTCAGCTAATGGACACTCATCGGATCAACCTTCAAGATCGGGCTTATTGGTCATCGACATCGTTGCAACGCACTGTGGCTTCTTTGTCTTCGTGGGTAGTCATCCCGGCGGATCATTTCCCCTCCCGCGCACATGTGATGTGCCCGTCCCTGTTTGCCATATTGATGCGGAAGACATTCTGCGCGGGGGATGTCTTCTCACTTTGCCGCGAATCTGCAGCATCCTTCCGCTCTGAAGTGGTAAACACAGTACCTTCTCTCCTACGTCAACGATATGCATGGGGCCTTCGACTTCAAGCACCGTTGCCTACAGCGCGCATCCTCCCAAAGCCGACCAAGGACTGGCAGAAAGCTCGACCCATCATCTCATTCTTTCGCACATGGGCAGCTCCCTTCCTCACGGTCTTCGGTGCACTTATATTTGAACTCACCAAGGCAGCCTTCCCCGACATTGCAGGTCAACTCTCAGTACAAGAACTTATCCAGCAGCTGTGGGAAGCACTGTCAAAAGCAGATCCTGATGAGTACATCCACCTGGTGTCGCAAGACTTGTCAGGCTTCTTCACGTCCATTCCTACGGAACGTTTCCATCAGGCGCTTCAAGTGCTTCTTCATCGCTATGATCAAGTTGTTGGCCTTCGCGGTTCCTCGCAATGGTCCGTGTACGAAGTCAAGTCAGA